TTCAGAACAGAGAACACTTCAAAGTTGTGGAAAAATTGTCCAATTTTTTGAACCGTTGAATGAATGTTTCAGTTAGATGAACTACAAAGCAGGATAGCTCTAATAAATGACAATAAGTGAAAATTATTTCATTATATATGATGAAGTATTATAAACAGAGAAAAATGAAACACTGAATTATTTATGTGGGATTAAAATATATATATATATATATGGAAACCCTGGTGGTGTAGTGGTTAAAAGCTACAGCTGCTGACCAAAAGATCAGCGGTTCAAATCTACCAGGCACTCCTTGGAAACTCTACGGGGCTGTTCTACTCTGTCTTATAGGGTTGCTATGAGTCGGAATTGACTTGACGGCAATGGGTTTGGTTTTTTGGTTTATATGTATATATATGTATATATGCTTCTTTCCACTTCCTAACAAGGAATTTGTGTTCTTCAAGCCTTTTAGGAGAAACATAGTATGCACATATATTTAAGTTATTTTTATGAAATATGATAAGTTTGAAAATGTTTAAAGATTAAACAAATAAGACTACTTAGGCACATATAATTATTAATATATACTTGGCTTAAGTCTCTTTTATAATGGATTATAACACAATTTTGTGCTATATTTAGAAATGGCAATGAATAGTAATTATAAGAGCAAAATATTCAAATCCCTGTGTAGTTGACTGACAAGCAGAAAGAAAGTAGTGTTATGATGCATTATTTGAAATTTCATAAGAATCCTCCTTTATTTACTCCCCTTCCCAAAAATTTTGATAACTGGCCTTAGCCTTGACTGTAGCTCATTATCTCTAAAAGATTTTGAATACAACTATGATTCTTTTTAGATGCCCGAAACTGTTAAAAGCAAGCATATGCGTAGGTAAGAAGTGCTGATGGAAAGATCAGCAATTTTTAGAGATGGAAATGTGCTTAATAGATCAAGATTTTAAAAAATGTATTTGAAAGTCTGGTACACACTTTAGAGGGAAATCATTCTTAAGCTACTGGCATTTAGAACAGAGAAAATATAAGACTTTAATCATATAATCTAAGTAAGTATTTTAAATGCAATTGAGACAATGAGTAGTAGAGGTAATTATGGTAAAAATGCTGTCTCCATGCTGATTTTAATTCTTATTCAGCTTTTCCTTTGCTAATCTTTATATTGATTTGGAATTAGATTATAAATTCCAAGGGTGCTGAAACTATCATTGTTATTTAATCTCACAGTCTAGCAAACAAAATGTTGGATGTCAGTAATATTTATTACAAATAATTATGATACATTGCTTTAGCGATCAATGGCTTTGATTGCTTCTGTAATGGAAGAGATCTTTTGCCTTGTGTGGAGAAAACTGCTAACATTTTAAAATTGGCCTCATGCTGAAAAATGGAAAAGAACTTATTTCAACTTTCTTTGAAAATTATGTTTTTTTTACATGATATCTTTTTATGGATTTTACTCTGATATCTATCTTTTTGTGATCATAGCAATGTGCCTAATAGTTTACAGTGGCCTTTAATCATCCATTAAATAAATATTTATAGATGCACAGGCATAACCAGCTTCCTTATGGTGCTTATAGTTTATATTGAAGCCTTAGCTCATTTAATCCTGAATACACCTTTCTGGGTTGGGGGATTTAGGAGGATAGTAGTACTAGTTATATGTAGTTAAAATTCTACACTGATACTTTCACTTT